GGGACTAACAATATTTTTAATGGGGATTCAGCTCTGTGGGGAAGGGGGAAGCAGGATATCTTGAAGCAGGAGAATTAAGAGGGATTGGACATTTAGCTGGACTATATGGGTCAGTAATATTCTTAAATTGAGGGGGTTAGTGACTATAGGGGCATACAAAATGATCACAAGGCATTCTTTTTCAAAAAAACATACTGTTAAGATTGCTTCTTGAGTCAAACGTTTCCTGAAGGTCTGCTTGTGCAGGAGATTGAGCAAGCTGTTTGTGTCAAGACCCTGTTCTAGGGCCATCCTTGATTAAATTGACCAGAAAGACAAGATTGCTTTCATCAAGGGCCCCCTTGGGAACATATTTTCATAATTTTGCCTGGAGGTTTATGATCGGTGGTTCTGGGACATTCAAGGTTAATTAAGAGGCATGAAGGGTCTGGACTTAACCACAGGTTGGCCAGTTTTACTTAAGACGAGTGCCTCCGTTTGGGGGCCCTGGTGCCCTTGTTATCAGGCAAGACCGATGCTTGGAGAAGGCCATCATGTTAGGTAAAGTAGAGGGTTAACAAAGAGTTAGACCCTGGATGAAATGGACACACTGTGGACAACGATGGGGTCAACCAAAGCAATGAGCGTGCGGGTGGCGCAAGGCCGGGCAGTGTTTCTTTCTCTGGCACGGAGGACCATGGTATGGAGTGCTCCCAACAACAACTATCCACAATGGTTCCCTTAGTGTCTGAGCTGAGTTTTTCCATTGGACTTGAAATGGCTAGCAACTTGCAGCTTGAAGATGGCTCCTCTTTGCAGTTGTTGGCCAAAGGTCAGTTCATGCTGATCTAGGAGAAGGGAGAGAGTCAGAGTCAGACATTTCACACAAAGAGAGTGAAAGACAGAATGAAACGCCGGTGACTCAGAACCCTGTAGGCTCTGTGGAGAGCCCATACTGGCGGTAGCCAACAGCATCCTTCGAGCTGACAGCAACTAACTGACAAGATCTTCCTGCCATCTCTGCGACACAGGTTCTGCTCTTTTCCCATTTTACAGGGGAAGCACTGACGTGCAGAACGTTTCGGTAACTTCCTCGAGATTTGATAACTAGCTAGCAAGAGTAGGCATCGACTCAATGGCGGTGAATTTGGGGGGTTTTTTTCTGAAGGGGAGAGCAGTGAGAGAGTCTTTGGAGAATCGACAGCCACACCTTCTCCCCAACTTGAAATGTGCCTGGGTAGCTTTTTCTTTTCTATGTATTTCCCCAAGTCTAAGGAGCACTGGCAGTGCAGAGGTGAATTTGCTAACTGAAGTGTGGGTGGGTCCATCCACCAGATGCTCTGTGTGAGAAGCACGAGGCTTCTCTGAGGATGGACATCCTGGGAAACCCTAGAAGGGCAGTTCTCTGCTCTACAGTGTGTCTATGAATCGCAATGGACTAGATGGGGTGGGTTGTTTGGGTTTGGTAGATCCTCTCTGCATAAACTGTGGCTCCTGATACCTTATCCACACCCACACAGCTCTCCCACATGCCACAATCCTTCCTAGTCTTCCATTTAAACCCCATTTCCTCCCTGACTCCTGCAAGACTTCCCATTCTCAGTCCCTACGTCACAGACTGCCTAGGCTGAGAACTATTGTCTCCCCTCTCCAACCTGAATGTAAGTGATCAAGGGCACATTCTCAGAATTCTATTTCCTCAAACATGAAAGAGACCCTCAGACATCATCAGTGTTTACCCCTTCTGAATTTATAGTTCAGGAAGCCGAGACCCAGAGCTGGGGAGAGACTTGCCCAGAGCGCTAAGGAGACTGGTGGCCAAACCAGGACTTGATGACATTGCTCTTCGCAAGTCGTCTCTGACACTGCTTGGAGCCTAACAGGGTTGGGCACCCCATGAATGCTGAGTGGCCGAGCTGGAGAAGTTCATCCGCAAGGATGTGGCTACCAGGGCTGCAACCCAGGAGGAGAGATGCCCTCAGAAGACATCAGTTCAGCTTGGGAAATGAGACCAACCCCTCAGTTCCAGGAGGGTGGCTTTGCTGAGGTCTGTGAGGTAAAGAGGACTGTGAAGGGGCTTTAAAAGAAGTGGTCAAAAGACTCTGGTGCTGGCACCAGCCCTCCCACCAGCTAGGCAGGACTGCATTTTAAGCACCTCCAGCCCGGCCACGGGGTGAGAAATGGAAGCTACCTTGAAGTCCATCAAGAGCAGCTCCACATGGAGTCTGAGCCTCAGTTTCCCTGACCCTGGGGCCTTCCAACAACTCCAGCCCTTCTAGTGCTGCCCCCTTCAATTCCTAGTTAAGTGGACGCTCTAAGGCCAGGGTGGGCCTGGAGTTTGGGGAAGTCCTTCTGGAGCAAAGCGTCCAGGAGCTGGGCGCTCAGGTCCCCGATGCCCTTCACTGCTCTCCTCACATTGGCCAGAAGGGCTATTCCTGAGCAGAGCAAGCACAGAGTAGGACTACATCTTTAGGAGTGCTGGTTGCAGTTCTGCCTGGGGATAGTCAGCCAGACATCGTCATTCTCTTCCCCCCATTGTCTCTCTGGTGGGATAGGAAAGAGAAGCGGTGAGGGCTGAGGCTTAGAGGGTCCCCATGGGGCCAGCAGTTGCAGAGAGCCAGTGTAGCTCTCCATGGAGTTTCTTGGTTAATTAATTCGTGTGTGACCCCTCTGCTCCCAGGCTGTGTCACTCCTCCTGCCTTGGGCTATTGAGGGAAATCTTCTCTCTGGGGTACACACACCTTGCCTCGCTTCTGCTGGAAGTGGCTCAGCCTCTGTGTTTACAGTGTGGAAGGCAGAGTCGATTTGGCCTCACGCGTCAGTTATCGGACAGGAGACTTGCTGGCTGGGAGAGGAATAGCCGATGGGGAAAAGGCCAGGTGAGTCAACCAAGCTTCTGAGAGAGGCAGAAGTGAGGTAGACAGCATGGGGACGTGAAAGAGACCATTGGTGGGATTCAGGAACCCCAGTTAACATCCTGACTCTGTCCCCCAGTTGCGGGATGTTTGGGGGCTTTGCTCCCCGTTTGTGACACGGATGTTGGGTGACCTGATAGTTCAGAATCATTTCCGGGTGCTCCATGTTGAGACATCATGTTGGACACTTGTCTTCTCTTACCTCTGGATGCTTCTCCACCCAGTGCTCCGTGGAGCACCTGCCTGGCATAGAGCAGATAGAACCGTTCGGATTGTTGAATACTTGATGAGGGGTGTGGGATGCATTCGGCAGCGTAGAGTAGAAGAGGGGAGTTGGGGCCTGGCCTGTGTCTTTAGCAGAGACGCTGGAGGTAAGAGGGTGCATCTGACATTAAAAACAGTGATTGCAGAGAAAGCTCTTTGGGGCATCATGGAGTGAAGAACCTGAGATGGGAGGAGGAGACTAGAAACAAGAAGTTGGCTAGAAACCCAGGGCTAAATATGCTAGGATGCAGGGAAGTTTACCCTGAGCTGACACTGCCCACCCCCCATTCTGTGAAGGTAGCCAGAGACTGGAGAGGAGCGAGAAAGAGTGGGGAAGGCATTTGAGCATCATGTGAACTGGTGTGGAGATGTGCTTGGACCTGTGTGCCTGAGTAGCCAGAAGGTCCTCTGAAGGTCACTTTACGTCTTTGCACGTTTGAATCGCTGGGTCTGTGCTTAGATCTTCATGTGAATGTGGCTCCCAGGCATGTGTGTCGATATTTTAAGTGCACAAATCTGTATATGTTCCATGAAAATGTCTCTGTAGCTAGTTTACAACAAAAATATTGTTTAACGCAGAGGCATAAACAGTAATGGAGAGTTTTCTGGTTCTATATCTTAAATAGGCCTGCTTCATTTTACAAACATACATAAGTCCTTCCTACTTGTTTCCAAACAGGTATCTCCATACCTGGGACCCAGGTAGGGACTCTGAGTCATCGCTAGCACCCCAACAGTCAGGGAACCCAGTCTTGTGTCAGGCGTCTCAGGGAAAACCAACATACATCAGTCACCATAGCTCACCATCACCAACAGTCTTTCAGGGCCGGCGCCGGGAAGAAAGTGGACTTTTATCAAGTGCCTACTGCAGGAAAAAGATGAGGCTCTCCACTCCCAAAAGGAGTTACAATCTCAGAAACCCACAGGGGCAGTTCTAGCCTGTCCTAGAGGGTCACAATGAGTCTTAATCCACTTGCAGGCTGAGTTAGGGAAAGGTGCCTGCTTTTGTTAAGTGCTCATTTATTCATTTGCTCATTTATTTTTAAGTGGTTTTTTTCAGGATATAAAATAATGTTTTTATGGATTGGGATAACAGTTGTATGAGCCCCTAATAAAATGTTAAAAAAGAAAAAAAATATTTTATATATATATATATATAATTTATAAAGGTATTACTTTTAGAGTGCCTTTAAAATATATACTGTTATCTGACAGTTTAAGTGATTTAAGTTAGTAAAGAATTTGCAAACTTTTTCCCCCATGGAGAGAGAGGAGATGGCACTTTACGTATTAAATGGGGGCGGAAAATCAAAAACAAATAAGCAAATAAAAAACAACATATAAAAGACGGGTCGCTATGTAAAAGGACAATATAGATATACTTGGTTTTCTCTATGCTTTTTGTCACACTTTTCCCCCCCTTATTACCTCATTGAAGCCTCACAGCAAACCATGAGGATGGGATTATTATCCCACATTAAGGGGGGAAAGCAAATGAAGAACTAGGTTGTTATGTAACTACCTTGAAGTTTCCCTTGTAAGGGAGAGCATTTCAGGCAGGGAGACACAAGAAAGGGATAAGCGAGAGGCAGTGACAAGGGAGCCTGGTCAGGGCAGAGAGGGGACAGAAGGAGCAGTGGGAGGTAAGACTGGACAAGAATGCTGGCAGCCCGGTTGGAAGGCGTACAATGTGTCTGCCCTGTATTCAGTGGGAAGTGAGGAGACTGGAGAGATTGGCTCAGGAATTCCTAGGACCTTCATAGCACGGACTTTCTCTCTCCAGGGCTGCTGCTGGAGCCAGGATTTTAAAATGCTAAGGTCTCCAGGCTGAGATGAATGACGATGGATCTGACCTCGGGATTGGGGGCTGCTGGCCCAGAGGAAGAACAGCGCACAGACTCCGTAGACAGTGTCAAGATCTGGCATGCAACCCTTCTGGTGAGAGGAGCCAACTTTTCTCTGCAATCTTCTTACCTACGTTCTACCTTCCTCCCCATGCCTCTTCCATTTCTTCCTTCCAGTATTAGGAAGGGGTCATCTGTTAGCCCCACTCTACCTGCAAAATATCTTCATGTGCCTCATTCTCTTTCCTCGGCATGAAATGCCTTCCTACCCCTCTGCCTCTGTCAACCTTACTTGTTCTTCCAGACCTACTTCAGACCTCACCTCTTCTCTGAAACCTTCCCTGAATCAGATAGGAAATCCCTGAACAGCACAAAAGGTGAAATGTTCAACCACTAGCTCAATGGTTGGCAGTTCAAATCCACCCAGAGTTTCCTTGGAAGAAAGCTTGAAAGGACACCCCTTGAAACCCCTATGGCGCACAGTTTTACTCTGCAGTGCGTGGGGCCACCCTGAGTCAATAGGGACAGGCAAGCCAAGAAAGACATTTGGACTTTGTCCAGATAGTGAGTTGTTTATTGCATTGTGAACAATAGATGTGCCACTATAGCCTCAGAGCCTAACACAACACCTGGCTCAAACCTGGCACTCAATAGCTGGGCATGGAGTGTCTGGTGGAGTTGTTATTCTGCCCCAGGGAATTCTGCCTAGTCCAGTGCCATATCTCATTCTCACTAAGAAAAAGCACTGGCACATACTTAAGTATCTAGAACAGAAAATAATCTGAGATTGAGTCCATAAGAAAGAATCTAGGACAGGGCTTCTTACATTTTTCCCACTCATTACCCACTTTTGCCTAAGAAATTTGAAACAGGGACAAAAGTGGCCAGAAACACCTAGGATTCATTACTTGCTGGATTTTGAATTAATTTTTGGTCATTGCCAGTTCAGAAGGGGCCTTGGTGGCGTAGTGGTTATGCACTAGGCTGTAATCCACTAGGTTAGTAGTTTGAAATCACCAACCGCTCTGAAGGAGAAAGATGAGGCTTTCGACTTCCATAAAGAGTTACTTTCTCGGAAGTTCTAACCTGTCTTATAGCATCGCTATGAGTTGGGATCAAGTTGAAGGCAGTGAGTTTAACTTTTGCCAGTTCAGACACCTTTCACTATTGCCAAATTTTTGTGACCCCAACATTCAGTTAAGCTACCATGTATGGAATGGCAACCCAGAGTCTAAGCATCTTTGGTAAGACACCAGGGTGTTTAAATTGGGGTTGGGGGGGGGGTGAGGACTTAATATACATAGAATAGACCCCTTCAACCAGTATTTGAAAAGCTTCAGAGGAAACAAACTCGGTATGTGGCCACAACTGGTCCCGAAGCAGAAGCTACAGGAAGGTTTCAACTGAGATGAATGTAAAACATGATGAAATAGGTACAACCCTCCAGTAGTGGACTGGACTGTCTCAAGAAGTCATCAAGGAACAGGGACAACCATCAGAGGTTGAGGGAAAGGAAACTAACATCCGTAGAGCATCCGTTCAGAGCTAAGTCCTTATCCATAGAGGACCTCAATCAATCCTCATGGCAACCATGTCAGTGCCCTGGGTTTATGAATGAGAACAGTGGAGATGGTGAGAGTGGGTCTGCGTTTCCCAGCCAATCAGAATTAGAACCAAAGCAGCTCTGACTCCAAAGCCAGTGCTTGCTCCTTGACATTGCACAGCCTACCACGTGGTTGGGAGGGAAGATCCTGTAGTCAAAAAACAATGGACCAGAAGGAGCCAAAGTCATAACTCGGACTGAGTGAGGGACTCTGGGTCTGTATTGGAGTAAGGAATGGGGTTGCCATGGACACAAGCTGGTTATTTCCTTGGCATAACCAGTAAGTGACAATAATAGAGAAGCAAAAAAGGGTGGGGGGTAAAGTGGAGGTTTCTCCTAGGAAATGACAGGTGTTCTCACTGTAGTGTGCTCTCCTATCCCCTTCTTCGCTCTCTTTTTTACTTTGTTGTTATCCGTTGCTCGTTAAAAGCCACATTCAACAGATACGTTAGGTAAATTGTGGGTACAGATCACTGGGCAAGGGCATAAGATGTAGCCCTACCACAACCAGCCTCCCTGAACAATTACTGTCAGAAATAGAGTATTTCTAGAACCTATTCCCTCCCCCACTTCCCCCTCCTCAAGCCATGCTTCCTGTGCTAACAACCCCACACAACCTCTCCCTCCTGCCTGGAATGCCCTCCCTCTTCTCCATCATAACATTTCTTCTTGCTCCAATTCTTCAAGACCCCACTCAAACCTCACCTCTTCTTTCAATTTCACCCAGACTCCTGCACAAAGAATCATTAACACTCCCTTGGTTCATTGCATGAGCGAAGTACATGACAATCTGAAGGCTGCTACAAGCCCAACTGTTGGAGGACAGAAGCTAAGACTTCTTCCTCATTCTGTCCCTCACAGTGTTTAGTACAGAGGTACAGTCTTCAGGACAAATCTAGCTGCCACCTAGTTTTGCAAATACAGTTTTATGGAAACACAGCCATGTCATTTGTTGTAGATTGACTACTTTCATGCTATCCTGGCTATCCTGGAAATTAACTCATTGCAACAGAAGCTCTTTCACCTATGAGCCAAAACTATTTATTATCTGTTTCTTTATAGACAAAGCTGGACAATCCCCTGAGCTGGCATATAGCATGTGCTGAGTGATCAAATGGTAAGTTCAGTAAGGTGCTTTGTGAAGAGAATTAGACTGATACACACAAGGGCTGGGTCTCAGTGTTGGCTCTACCAAACTAATTGACTACAGGTAAGCAAATAACTGTGATAATAGGTAGCTATGATAGATGATTGATGATAGATAGGTAGATTGATAGATTAGACAGATAGATGAGAGAGAGAGAGAGAGAGAGAGAGAGATGCTGTGTGGGCATTATCTTCACAAACTTCTTATACACTTTACCCCCGACTTCAGGGGCAGCTATTGATGTTTTCCTCATTTAAAGATGAAGAAGAAACTGAGGTTCAGAGTGGTGACACCGTCTGACGTTAGCACCAGGTCTCAAAATCAGGTGTGACCTCCTCCAAAACTCTAGCCCTTGACTAGTGCTCTAAACCACTCCTCTGAGATTCAGTTTCTTCACCTATCAATTCGGGGTTATTGATGAGCATTGTAGTTTCCAAACGATTTCAGGAAGAAAGAACATTAGAGATGTTTTTACATGGAGCCCTAATTTCTCCAGAAGTCTAGCCAGAACTCTCAGCATTCAGGCCGGCTGCCTCCTCTCTCCCTTAGCACCCCCACTCCACGGGCCACACCCTGGCTCTGGCCAACCTCACCTCCAGCCCCGGCTTCCTCCTCCTGGGCCTCATGGATGGCTCAGAAGCCCACCCGCTCCTGTTCCTGCTCTTCCTGGGCGTCTACCTGCTCAACACCCTGGGCAACCTGAGCATGGTGGTGGTGGTCAGGTCCGACGCAGCTCTCCGATCGCCCATGTATTACTTCTTGGGCCACCTGAGCCTCGTGGATGTCTGCTTTACCAGCGTCACGGTCCCCAGACTGCTGATGGGCCTGCTCCACGCGGGCCAGGCCGTCTCCTTCCAGGGATGCTTCGCCCAGATGTACTTCTTCGTGGCTCTGGGTATCACCGAGAGCTACCTGCTGGCAGCCATGTCCTACGACCGGGCGGTGGCGGTGTGCCGCCCGCTGCATTACGGCGCCGTCATGACCCCCGGGCGCTGTGCAGCGCTGGTGGGCACGTCCTGGATGGTGGCCCACTTCCACTCGCTGCTGCACACGCTGCTCATCTCCGCCCTCTCCTACCCCGCCCCCGCCCTGGTGCGCCACTTCTTCTGTGACATGACAGTGATGCTGAGCTTGGCGACCTCGGACACGTCCGCCGCCGAGACTGCCATCTTCTCCGAGGGCCTGGCCGTGGTGCTGACCCCGCTGCTCCTCGTGTCCCTCTCCTATGCCTGCATCCTGGGGACCGTGCTGGGAGTGCGGTCGGCGGGCGGGCGGCGCCGCGCCTTCTCCACCTGCGGGGCTCACCTGGTGGTGGTGTCGCTGTTCTTCGGCTCCGTCCTCTCCGTCTATTTCCGACCCTCATCCGCCTACTCGGCCCGCTACGACCGCCTGGCCAGCGTGGTCTACGCAGTGGTCACGCCGACCTTGAACCCGTTCATCTACAGCCTTCGCAACAAAGAGGTCAAGGGCGCCCTAAAAAGGGCAGTTGGATGGAAGGCTGCGCCCCAAGAGTTCTGACAGCAGACCCGGATTCACCAGCTGCTGCACCAGGAGAACTATTCCCCGACAACTCGTTTTCCCTTTTCTTTTAAGCTTTCCCAAACACTCTATCACGTTTGTCCCCGCAGCGTCTGAAAGTGGTTTTCGTGTTGTTTGTTTGCCACAGGTAATAATTTAAAACTTTGGAAAATATGCACGTGAACTGAGGGTGCACCGAAGGCGCCTTGTCAGATGAAAATGAAATGAGATCATTTGTTGGGAAAAGAAATGCTTTCGTTTGGAGCTCCGGGACGGTGAGAGGTTGGTGAGGCATTGCAAATAATAAAAGGTCTCCTTTTAATATTGGGGTACGTCCAAGATTGATGTCATGGGGCTGGTTCTGACTTGTGACCTTTTATCTGGTTTCCAGGACGATACATCGTTATGTGAGCAGATAGCCACAACTCTCACGCTCAGAGTCTCTGACCTTGGACTTAGCAGGCCAATGCTTGCCTGATGCAGCCCCAGGGCCCCTTTCACGGGGTGCATAGCACTAGATGAAAATCATTTTTGGAATGCTTGAAAAAAGTTATACTTGTATTTTTTGAAAATATAACCGTGAACGCGGGTGGGGGCAGTAGACAAAAGGAGTCTGGCAGTTTGGGGAGAAGGAAGATACATAGACCATCAACTTTAAGCAAGTGGGGGCGGGGGTGGGTGGGGGGAGGGCAGTCAAGATCTACAGGGACTTTGGAGAGGTCTGTTGTAGATGTTGTAGTGTACGGGACATTCTAGTAGATTCCTCTTCAGGAAAAACCAAAGAGATATAGAGATTTGATTTCTTAATCAGGAATTGTATATCTAATCAGAGCCCATGATGGACAACACCCTTCCTTTATAAATTTTGCAAATGGCACAGATCCTGTTTTCCAGATCCTATGTCACTACACTGTCGGCTCCTGCCAACTTTTCATTTTTCATCTCAGCTATGTGTAATAAAAAATTTTGTTCCCTTTTTGGCAAAACTTCCCATACATTTATAAAGGATGGACGGTATCCATGTTTACCCAGTCTGCCATGTTGCCAGAAGTCAAATTCCACATTATTTTTAATGCTTGTATGGATCAGAGTGGCATTTATTCGATATACAAATGGGACTTCAAATAGTTCATGGGGAAAAATCTACTAGCTTTTAATTCCATTTTCCCGAAAACTTTTGGAAGCTTCCCTCATATGTCACTGTCCTAAGTAAGATAAGCACTCAGAAATCCTAGTATATTTGGGATAAAAATATATGCATGGGTGCATTTGCATATAGAAAGATCTAGAAAGATAAAGCATAGGCACTTTGTACTATTTAAATAAACATCAAATTTGTAGCTATATACTAAAAAAGTAGGAGTATCAACATCATCAAATTAGGGTTCAACAGATATATTTGTGTATATATAAATATATAAGTATTTATATAGAAAATTCCTATATATATATAAGTATAACTCATATATAAAATGGATAGGAGGCTTGTACTTAATTTTAGTGCCCATATAAAAATAACTAGTTCTTATGATATAACCCTACTTGATACCTTTACGAAGAGACCACTGCATTAAAGAAATCAGATGATGCCTAATTCTCATAAAGAATAGCATCCGAGGTCTTAAACGCTTGCCTTCAAACAAGCAGCCATTTCAGTGAGGCATCAATTTAGTACACATGGAAGAAACACACCAGCCTGTGTGGGACAATGATTGTTGTTGTTGTTATGATTGTCAGGTGCCATCAACTCTATTCAGTTGCATAGCAATCCTATGCACAAGATGAAAGTCCCACAGCATCCTCACATCTGTTCCTATGCCTAAGCCCATTGGGCAGCCAATGTGTCCATCCATCTCATTGAAGTCTTTTTACTCTTTCACTGACCCTCTATCCCCTCTACTTTACCAAGCATGATGTCCTTCTCCAGGGACTGGTCTCTCCTGACAACATGTCCAAAGTATGTGAGGCAAAGTCTTGCCATCCTTACCTCTACAGAGCACTCTGGTTGTACTTCTTCAAGATCTGCTTGTCCTTTTGGTAGCCCATGTCATTTTCAACACTCTTTGCCAGTGCCACATCTCAAATGCATCAATTCTTCTAGCCCCCTTATTCAATGTCCAACTTTCATACACATGTGAGGCAATTGAAAACACCATGGCTGGGGTCCAGTGCACCTTAGTCCTCAAAGTAACATCGTTGCTTTTCAATACTCTAAAGAGTTCATGTGCAGCAGATTTGCCCAGTGTAACGTGTCTTTTGATCTCTTGATTCCTGCTTCCATGAGCATTGACTGTGGGTCCAAACAAGACAAAAATCCTTGACAACTTCAACCTTTTCTCCATTTATCATGATGCTACCTATAGGCCCAGTTGTGAGGATTTTGTTCTTCTTGAGATTGAGTTGTAATCCATACTGAAGGTTGCAATCCTTGATCTCCATCAGCAAGTACCTCAAGTCCTCCTCATTTGAGGAAGCACCTCCCTCCAATCCTGATGCTGAATTCTTCTTCATATAATGCACCTTTTCTGAACCCTGGTGGCATAGTGGTTACATGCTGGGCTGTACTCCACAAAGTCAGCAGTTCAAAACTACCAGCCACTCCCAGGGAGAAAAAATAGGGCTTTTTACTCCCATGAAGAGTTACAGTCTTGGAAACCCATAGGGGAAGTTCTGCCCTATCCTATAGGGTTGCTCTAAGTCAGCATCAACTTGATGACAGTAGGTTTGGTTTGGGTTTTATAAACAACAGAATAAGTATAGTGAAAGGATAGAACCCTGACATATCTTTCCTGATTTTAAACCATGCATACTCCCTTGTTCTCTTCACACAATTGCCTCTTGGTTCATGTACAAGTTCTGCGTGAGCACAAATGTTTTGGAATTCCCAAGACTATCCATAGTTTGTTGTGATCCACAGAGTTCAATGTCCTTGCATAGTTAAAGAAACACAAGTAAACCTCTTTCTGGTGTTCTCTGCTTTCAGCCAAGATCCATCTGTTATCAGTTATGATTTCCCTTGTTCCGCATCCTCCTCTGGATCTAGCCTGAGCTTCTGAAAGCTCCCTATGAATGTACTGCTGAAAGCACTGTTGGATGATTTTCAGAAAAATGTTACTTGCATGCAATATCAATGGTATTGTTCTAAAATGTGAGTATTCTGTTTGGTCACCATTCATTGGAATGGGTACAAATATGGATCTAGATATCTATCTTCTAGATAGTTGGCCAACTACTTGTCTTCCCAATTTCCTAGCATAGATGAGTGAGTGCTTCTAGTGCTTCATCAGCTTGTTCAAACATTTCTTTATTTTTTTATTTTATCATTTTATTGGGGCCTCGTACAACTCTTATCACAATCCATACATCCATCCAATGTGTCAAGCACATTTGTTCAAACATTTCAATTGGTAGTCCATCAATTCCTGAAGCATTGTTTTTGGCTGATGCTTTCCGTGAAACTTCCTTCAGCACTTGGCTCTTGCTCATATGCTACGTCTTGAAATAGTTGAATGTCAACTAGTCCTTTTTGGTACAGAGACTTGGTGTATTCTTTCCATCTTCTTTTGTTGCTTCCTGCATCATTCAATATTTTGCCCATAGAATCTTTCAATATTGCAACTGAAGGCTTTACATTTTTCTTGAGTTCTTTCAGTTTAAGATATATGAAGCATGTTCTTTGGGCCTTTCTAACTCTAGGTCTTTGCACATTTCATTAGAGTCTTTTACTTTGTCTTCTTGAGTTGCCCTTTGAAATTTTGTTAATCTCCTTGATTTCATCAATTCTTTCATTTGCCTTAACTACTCTATAATTAAGAGCAAGTTTCAATGTCCCTTCTGACATCCACTTTGATCCTTTCTTTCTTGTCTTTTTAATGGCCTCCTGCTTTCTTCATGTATGATGTACCTGCTGTCATCCTATAGGTCATCAGGTCTTCTGTCATTCATGTTTAATACATCCAATATGTTCTTGAGATTTTCTCAAAATTCAGGTGGAATATACCCAAGATTGTATTGTGGCTCTAGTGGTCTTGCTTCAATTTTCCTCAGCTTTAACTTGAACTGACATATGAGCAATTGACAGTCTGTTCCAGTTAGCTCCTGGTATTGTTTTAGCTGCTGATATTGAGCTTCTCCATAATCTCTTCACACAGCTACAGGCTACTTGATTTCTGTAGATTCCATCTGGAAAATTTCACCTGTATAGTTGCTGTTAGTGTTGTTGAAAAATGGTATTTGTGCTAATGAAGTCGTTGATCTTGTAAAATTCTATCATGTGATCTCCAGCTTCGTTTCTATCACCAAAACCATACTTTCCAACTGCTGTGGACAACCTATTCCTCCTTCCTTAGTATTTTCTTCTTCATCTGTAAGCAATGATGCAACCTTTACTTTGGGTGACCCTGCTGGCATCTGAAATACTGGTGACATAGCTTTCAGCATCATAGCATCACACAAGCCACCAAGTTCAACAGACTGGTAAACAAGTGGTAGGATTCCTCTAGAGTCCACACCAACAAAGAGAATTTAGAAAAGGAAATCATAAACTTCAGATTGATCAAAATTGCCTCCAAAAGATAAAATCCTTAGAAATAAAATTAATAAGAGACATAACAGAACTGTACAAAGAAAACTATTAAACACTACTGAAAGAAACCAAAAAACCTACACATATTTAAAAAACTAAGTACTAATGGATAAAAAGAATTGGCATTGTAAAAATGCCAATACTACCCAATGCAATCCATAGTTATAATGCAGTCTAAGTTAAAATGTCATATTTTCGATAATATGGAAACACTAGTTGCCAACGTTGTTTGAAAAGGAAAGAGAGCCCAGAATAACAAAGCAGTACCGAAGAAGCCTCACACTGCTAGATCTCAGGCCCCAGTACGTAGCGATAGTAGTCCAAACAGCCTGCTACTGGAACAACAACAGACACAAAAATCAAGGGGAAAGAATTGAGAACCTAGACCTAAAGCCATCCATTTATGGACAGCTGGTCTCCAACATAGGCCAAAGTTTATTAAATGGGAAGAAACAGTCTCTTTAATCAATAGTGCTGGCTAAACTCTTGACATTATCTGTGAGTGTAGCCAAAACAATACTTAGAAAAAATGTAGAGTGTTAAAACATTTAACAGAAAAGAAAAAGGCATTTAAGGATTATATATTTGTAAATCAAATATTTAACTCAAAGACTATAAAAAAATTTTTAAACTAAAAAAACCCCTTTAAATTAGTAAAGAAAAAATAACTAATAAACTAAAAATAAAGTGCAACAGTAAACTTAGCCAGTGAGACAAAAAGCTGCTTGGTTGAATAAAAATAAACAATAATATAAACCAACAGCCAATACAAAGGAACAGTAAGTATAATGCTTACTGGCAAAATAAGGAAATCACTCTCCTCAAGTAAAGAACAACTTAAGAGCATCCCTCACAAACACTATGATTTTAATTTATTCTTGAAGTAGTATCCGATGCAATTAGATGAGAAGGAAAAAATAAAATTAAGTACTGGAAATTACTATGCATACATACCAATATTTATATTAGCTTTGATCTAATACCCAGTAAATTTAACAGAAAATATTTATTGGAAACAGTGAGATAATTTAATAAAACAAATAACTGCAAATTCAATGTGCAAAATAATGTCTTCTCTATGCATGATAAATAAATAGTTAAAAAAACACAGTAATGGCCCCCTCAACCTCTTTTTCAAATGTAAAACACCTAAGATTAAACATTAAATGGAAAGTGATGTAACAGTCTCACCTTAAAAAATCTACAAAGTTCAACTAAGAAAGCTCTAATAAATGGAAAAGTCGTTACTTGACTATAGTGTGTAAGACAATTACATATATAATCAATTCTCTATTAAATCTATAGCTCGTTGAAATTCTAATTAACATCGCAAAAGCAGTTTACTGGGATTTAATTTAATAAAATAGATCTGAAGTGTGTCTGAAAGAATAAATGTGTCAGGAAAATTTTGAAATAGAAGAATATTGAGGAGAACTTGTCACACCAGATATTTTTAAATGGTATGATGAAACGTTGCCTCATTTTGTACTAAATACAAAAATAGCAGAACTTCTTGGAGATAAGTTGACAGTTCTGACCCAATTTTAAAACATTCATTTCTTTTGATCTGGTATATCTACTGCTAAGAAATCCTATAGAGATGCAAGACAAATGTGCAAAAATATACACGGGTCATGCTGCAAATTGAAATCTTCTTCAAAGTTATCAAACACTAAAACAATCCAAATACGCATTGATATCAGATATTTTAAATAAATTATGGTAAATATATCCAGTCAACAAAACACTCTGAGCTTCTCAAAGTAATAGAGTCGGCTGTCCTTATACAGAACGGTGTTCACATTATGTTTTTAAGTGAAAACAAGAAAATCGCATGTAAAATGCAGCGCTCTTTATAATGCTAACCCACACATAAAAAATATTTGAAATAACATTTCCTAACTTTTAACTGCCTTCACCAGGATCAGAGCACTGGGGATTTTTGCATGCTACTTTATTCATTTACTTGTCCTTTGAGTAATTTCCAATAAGTATACATCATTTTAGCAATCAATAAAGAACATTTTGAAGAAGAAACGAAGTTCGAATTAGCATTATTGGGAAGGCACGGTTTAAAAGGTGGGGCTTTAGTCATTTCTCTGGCTTTTGGCTCAGATCAAGTGTAGTGAAAGGTGGGGCTTTAAGTGCATACATTCACTTAAAAACATACATGAAAACACATTCAAATCAAATTAATAAACATTTATTATATATTGAACAGTTATTAAAGCACTGAACTTGGTATTATAGAGTTTAAAGAACACCTGTGTTGAAAACGTTTATAGTATGCCTTGTAAGAAAATAAAATATTAAATAATTTCCAGCACAATATTTCTGAAAGAAAAACACCTACTTAGGAATCATAAATAGATTCTGGTCTTTCTATCATGTGTAGTAACATAGGCTGTCCTCTGGGTTACTATTTTGTTGTCTGTAAATTTAACAATTTACAGCACAACTTTAGGACTCCTATATTATGCGATTTTAATTCAAATGGAATTTCCTTCCAAAATACAGTAATTTGTCAATAACTGACAAATGGTTAGGAGAGTCAGCTCAGAAGGTGGGAAATATATTTTTAGATGTGATCATTAAAAAGATGGATTAATCCAGAACTAAATAGGTTGCCAAGGGGAGAGCATATGGTCCTGGAAAGATGAACATTAGAAGTGTGCAAAAATTCTAACTATTTCTAAATAACCAATCACAAGATAGTCTTCATTGAGTAGATACATTTGGTAGAGTCAAAGCACTGAAATGGCTGAGGAATCTGGCCTTTATTCTTAGGGAATTAAAGACTGAGGGACCACTCTCTGCTCT